TCCCAGGCAGTCTCCTTCTCCGAGGCCAATCGGTCCATTTTTCCTTTCCACCCTTCGGTCATGGCCTTGACCTCGTTCATCTCGGCTCGGAGTTGGTGGATCCTGTCAACCTTCTGCTGGACCTGCGAGTTTTGGCTGTTAGTCGCCATGTCTAACTCGTCATCACTAACTTTAAAGATCTTTACCGTTTCCACCAGGTCGGCATGTTCCTTTTGAGCCGCATCCAACTCAGCCTGGAGACTCTTGACTACTTCTTCGCGTTACTCGCTGAGAAGCTTATACATGTCCCTCTTCTCAGCAAGCTCCTTGACGAGGCCTCGAGCTGGTTAACCTCAGCCCGGTACCAGAGAAAACTCTTATGATGAAGTATTGAGGCCTGCAAAAATATAAAAGAGAAGAGGCATGAGAGATATCAAAAACTAAGTCTAAAGATAGAAAAGTGTCATGATGCCTTACCCGATTCAGCGCCTGTTGCGCTTCGTTGAAAAAGCACGGCACATTCACCTCGTTCATTTTTTCCTGGTCTTCTTCGGTTACCAGGCACCAGAGGTGGCTAGCTACTCTGACGTGGGCAAAAAGTGCCTGGGCATCCTCTGGGACGGTGATGATAACTAACCACTTCCGACCGGGGTCCATGCTCGGGGCGGGGAACTGGGCTCGATTTCGGCCCGCCGACCTTCGAGGATGAGCCTTTCTCGGCACCTCTAAATCACCAAAACCAAAGAAGTATTCCAGAGCAGTAGAGTCCACATCTTCAAAAAGGAACGGAGGGGATCATCTGCACCATGGGCCCCTTCGTTTGATCGCTCCTTTGTCGCTCGGGCTTCATTGAACATAGACTCTATGAATGAAGGCGACCCTGAAATTTCTATGACACTAGGCGGAGCGGAACCAGCTCTCAAGAGGTCTCGGCCCTAACCTCTGTATCAGCCTCCTGAACCTGAGGGGGTTAGCCTCTATTGTTTCCCCCTCGGTTGCCGCCTGCTCTTCGAGAAAAGATGGCTCGCGGGCAACAAAAACATCGCTTTCCTCGGGCTCATCCCTGAGCTAGAAAAGCGAGTCCGAGTCGGGCGCTCGGGAGTTGAAGGTCTCTTTCGACTTGCGGACCAACCATCTCCTCGCCTCTTTCTTCTCTGAGGTCGGGGAACTCGGAGCCCTCCTTCGCTTCTTTTATCCCACTGTAGCACTGGGCTGCCTCGGAGCAGAGGGATCAAAGGACAGGTCTTCGCCCCCTACAAAAAGCCTAAGCTCAATGGTCTTAGGCAAGCCTGTAAAACGAAAAGAGAGGGAATGAGAACATGATGCTAAAAAGGGGAGCCTCGTGTTACTTATTCGGGAAAGAAATCTTACCGTGGGAAGAGGCCTCCCAATGGCCCTTCGAGAGTTCGCGCCACGAGTGCTTAGAGCAAGGTATCTGCGAGAAAATTCCCTTGATACACTCCTTGAGCTGAGGAATGGCGTTTGGGACTTGAGCAAGGGTTGTATCACCACAAATACCGATGAGGAAAAGGGAGACAAAACGTAAAAATGATATCTAAAGGAAAGTATACTTACGTAATAGATTCCACTTCTCAAGAAATGACCTAAATTTGGCAGGGATCAGGTCTGTGGTCCTCACCCGGATAAAGCGTCCCTGACAGCCCCAATCCTAGTCTTCGTCGATGCTCGAAAATGGGGCTTTGCTAGCCCGGCGTACGAGCTTTATCAGCCCCTCCCCGGAATATTCAGGGACTGTACAGGCGGAGTAGATGATCGATGGTGAACAAACATGAGTCGACTTTGTTCACAAAAAATCGTAGGAGTATTATGATCCTCCACGGTGACAGATGGATCTGACTGAGGCATACGCCATACCTCCTGTAGAAGTCCAGTATGATCGGGTCTATCGGTCCTAGTGTGAAGGGGTAAGTGTAAACACTCAAATACCCCTCCACATGGGTAGTAATGTCGTCGCCGGGCCTGGGGTTTACTATGTCCTTACCCGCCCAGCCACACTCCTTTCGAGCCATAGGAAGGACGGCCTCGGTGATGGAGCAAATGTACCTCGATACCGCCTCGCATCGGCCTTGTACCGACGAGGGCTTTATGACCTTACATTTGTTCGCGACCGAACACCCCCTGGGGACAAATATTTTCAAGGGATGCTCGGCTACCGGTTCATCGGCAGCCGCACCCGGAGCGGGTCTCTCAAGAACAACTACATCGGAATCGATCTCCTCGACTCCGGTGGTCGGTCGTGAAAAAGAAGAAGCACCTTTTTGGGGAATGGTCTTGGAAGTCTTCGCCATTGATATCTGAAAAAAAGTTTGAAAGTGTGAAGGAAGATTGGGAGATGAAGGGTAAAAACTTGCTAGGAAAATCAAGCACGATGGCTTGGGTAGAAGATAAATAAAAGCTTGCAACTTGTTGAAAAATCTTGATGAACGAAGGTAAAAATGTTAGGCAGTGGTATCCTGAAGGTTCGAAGGTAGAAGCTTGGTCAAAAGTAAAAAATGAACGTAGTAGGGAGTATTTATAGAGGCTTTGCACCGTTTCGAATCCAGGGACAGCCTGTCGATGGCTGACAAGCGTTTATAGTCATTATGACGTGACTGACGGGACATTTCGGGTTCTTTGTCGTTTCTATCACGGCGTATTAAAGAAGGAATCGAAGGGCTCATGTCGTTTCTCGTCGTTTCAGTAAACTTACCCTCCGAGAAACGAGGGGATTATCTGTATATGGGTGAAATCGGGCCCATGGGACGCCTCGGTTTCCAATAAGGTAAACGGAGCAACAGGCGTGATGACAAGGGACCGGAATCGAGGCAAGGATCCCCTCGAGCCGGGATTCGGGCAAAGCACCCGGATTCGGGAGTATCGGGGCCATGACCCCGGGTTCGATCGAATCCTAAAGGCCTCGGAGAGCACTACCAGGCAATCAAGCACGACCAACAATAGGCTGTGATATCCGTGACCAGCCGGATATCACGACGTGGAGCTCGGCACATATCGGCAGGAATCCGGTGATTGGTTTAATGAAAGATTTTTACCTTTTATGGAATTATATTTAGAGTAAGACTCCCCTACTATATAAAAGGGATCTGATTATTCATTAACGAGACTATAACACGCATATCAAGGCAATATACTATTATTTTCTCTGTTATTCAAAGTTCTCACTTGAGTCCGGGATCGAGGGCATATATTTCATTAAGGCTGTTGTTGAGTCCGAAATCTCCCCCTTAAGCGGTTTGACAATTTATTACGTCATCTATCTGTTTAATCTAACGCAATTTATCCTTTGTATTGAATTAATCCGTGTATCCTTCAAGCCACTTATAAATTTAATTGTTATCCATTTTTTAGGGTAAATAAAAGTAACGTAGAAACTTCTAACAATCAAGGTGTGGTGGAAAGGACCAACAGATGCTCTCTCAAGGCCAAGTCGAGATACAGCATTGTTTTAGGGGAGGACATATTGTTGCCGACGCTTTGGGTAAGTTTGGGGCAAATGAAGAGTTTTATTATCAGCCCGTTGAACTTCCAAGGGCAGCTCGAAGATGCTATAGAATGGACAGAATTCATATGCCATTATTCAGAATCAGACAAGCGAAGAAAAGGTATAGGCTAGTTTTTTGAAAGCTAATTTTGTCAAAATTATACAGGGAGGTATGGGTATCCGCCCCTTCAACATAATCTATCTGTATGAATAGGAAGGAAGTTTTTACCGTAGTACGTTTGGCGATGAAATTTAATATCGAAGCATGGACAAGATTTGCTTTTTAAGCCATGGAGACAAAATTGTATTGAGTAAATTCCTTACAAACTTTGGACTAAGTCGTAAATTCAACAGATATTGATCCAAATTAAAGATTAATTAAGTCGGATACATGGATCGAATTGAGGGCACAGTTTCATTTGGATCGAACCATTTTGTTGGGCTTCACAAGTGAGTTTACTTCTTTAGACTGAAGTTTAGTGGGATGTCACTTTACTTTAAGATCCAAACTCAAGACATATATAGGTTATGCGATGTGATGTAGTCTTCCAAGTCAAATTAAAAAAAGAAAACAAGCCATGCGCACATGTCATGTGGCCATGTCAAGTAAAATTAGAAGACTAATAAAATTACAATGGGTATGAAGTTACGTGGCATGTCAAAGTAAAGACTAATGAAAGACTTCAAAACGTTCAAGTGTCATATCTTTTTCTCAATAAGATATAGCTTTTCATAAGTTTAATTTGATCGGTTTAATGACTCGATGGACCAACCGAATCCAGTAGCAGCTCCTTTCTACGTTTGAAGCTATAAACAGAGGTTCACTATGAAGACATAAGCACGCCATAAAAAGCAAATTCAAGAGGAACTTGTCAAATTCTAATTAAAATAAAGTTCAAATTCAACGGAAGGAACATTCCCACTGTTAACAGATGTTATATGTGCCAGCAAAAGATAGAGACTAACAGACACCTTCTCATTGCACAGTAGTTAGTGATATTTTGGAACATGTTCATCACTGTTTTCGGTTTAAGATGGGTCATGCCTAACAGCATCAAGGATGCCTACATCAGTTGGATCTCTTGGAAAGTTGATAAATCCATCAGACAAGTCCAGAAAATGATTCATGCTTGTATTTTTTGGTGTGTTTTCAATGAGAGGAATAGAAGATGTTTTGATGGAATATCAAGTATCAACTCCAACCCACGCCCTTAAGGTTAGTTGTCTTTTCAATTTTATGTAGATGGGATAGTTTGTCTCGTGTATACTCTCATGTCAAACTTTCGGCTTTGTTAGCTCTTTATCGCTAGCATAGGTCTCATTGTAATAAAGCGAACAAGCTCGCACTTGTGAATTTTGCTATTGATACCACATAATACCACTTATTTCATCCAAAAAAAAAAAAATTCAATTCGGCAAACTCAAGAACAAACTATAAAGCACCAAGTCAACATTTGTGAAGGAGATGTCCCAGAGAAGATAACTCTTTTTTTTTTCTTTTTTTCTTTTTTTTTTTGTAATCAAAAACTAATCATTGGTGCTATATTTTCGAACAAGAAATTTGCGTTACAAGTTACAAGAAGCCGCAGCTAAACGATTTAGCAAAGCAAAACAAATTCAACTTAACCTGACAAGTGCAGGAGACACATGTTTAAGGAAGCTGATCCGCCAAAGTTGTTCATTTACATCTAAGAGGCTGATCACTTTCAAAATTGTCCAATTGGTACTATGATGAGTGGTGATTCTATTTCTCGCTAAATCATAGCAAGTTGAAGGTTTATTTCACAATTTAGCATCTGCACATCCTCTTTCATTCCATGAACTGATTTTCAACAGCAGGCCTTCCACTAAAGATTCTATGTCTTGCTTCAATGGCCTGTAACATCCAAATGCACAAATGTTTAAGTTCCACAAGGTATCTTTTACATTCTGAAGAATGCTATCAACCTCCTAGTCCTAAGTTTATTTGATTCAAATAGCATCGTAATTCATTCTCTCTCATGATTTGAAGAGTGACATAAAGCAGTAACTAATAAGAAATTGAATGTTGGGTCTAACTCAACCCCAAAAGCTAGCTCATGAGAATTGCTCAAAGACATCTGCATTTTCTATCGACCTATGTGGGACACTTAACAATATCCAAAAGAAAGTGCCACACAAATTACAAAACAACGTAAGAGTTGAATAGTTGCGAACCTGTTTTTCCCAATTGGTGAGGCCTGTGATAAGGGAAAGCGAAATAGATTGCACAGTTGCTCCAGCCACCAATCCAATCCAAAGGCCTTTGCCTTTTAGATGCAAAACAAATCCCAGCAATAGAGCCGTTGGAATTCCAACCAAATAATATGCTCCAAGATTCACATAGGCTCCAATATGCTGCCACCCACTTCCTCTGGCAACTCCTGATACAATTTGCAAGTCACTTCAAAAGACAACTTTTTGTTTTCTGTTTGACCAAATTAATTACTCATGTTTTCAAAATAATAAAGCAGGAATAACTCTTTTAATCTTCAGTTATGGTGTAAAAACTTAACTGCAATATCCGATTTAATTGAACTGCTGTTGTAAAAAGTCTTTTACATTGCCAATGTATACTCATCCTTTTCAATTTATGTGATACATTTTACTTATTAGTCAATTTAAAAAAGAATGATACAATTTTATATTTGGAAAAATAATTTTAAACTTTTTATTTTATTCATTTTAAAGTATTTATAGTCACAAAAATATTAAGGCCCGGCAAAACCTTTACCCTGTAAGCTTTTAATGTCATATGTTTTTTTTTTCTTTTAAACTCCGTGCCGAGTCAAACTACGTCACATATATTCAAATGGAGGGAGTATAACTTAAGTCCGAGAAAAGCTTAAGCTCTCTGCATGACATTGCATAAATTTACACTATCAAACCTGACATAACCAGTTAAATTGAATTTTGTATGAGATTTCTTTATACAATTAGTATATAAAACTTAAATCATTTCAATAGATAACCTGATAATACGGCTTGGGTGCCATCCATGATGATTGAGATGCAAAGAACAGGAGTAATTTCTGCTACATAAGTGATTACTTCTTTCTCATAGGTAAATACATAGCCCCATACATGGCGGACCACGAATATAGAAATACTTGCAAGAACAACCTCTGTGACAGAAAGAATTAGCACAGCGCCAAGAGCAACTTTCGCGGCCTGTGGCCTCCCCGCTCCAAGCTCATTTGAAACACGAGTGCTGCAATATTTTTTACTTGAAAATTTGCATATTTATCTCAATACTTCTAACGGAATCAGATAAATGCTTGGTTGATAAGACAGGATCAAACCTTGCAGCGGCACCGAAAGAATAAGGTATATGGTAGTGCACTGAAGTGGTTGTAAAGCTACTCTCCAAGAAGATTAGACCATGAAAAGTGCATCAGTATATGATCATTACAGACATCCGAAGATCAAAAAACGCACAGACAAAGATTAAGGGTGTGTTTAGTATGACATAAGTCATTTTCCAAAAAATGACTTATTTTTGGGACAATATTTTTCGTCTTACCAAAGATACCATACCCTAAGTGATAAAAGGAAGCATACCATATGGATAGAACGGAAGTCTCTAGCGCTGGATTTGGCAACAGACCAGAGAGGAGAATGATTAGTTCAAACGACCACCATTCCAAGCTATAGCAATTGTAACAAAAAAGTTGAAGTAATATATTAGGGATCAAGAGACAGAAACATGGCTAAACTCGATCATGAAGGAATATATGTATGTATGTTTTGCTATTGAAATTAGTTACCAAACCATTACAGCAGATGGGATAGCAAAGCGGAAGAAGTCCCCTATAGTCAGAAAAACATCTCTAGAGAATGAAGCCCGAGTTTCTGCACAAGCTGATGAGTACTTCACATAAAGCATAAGCAAGATCACATTCAGCCAATAGGATAAACCAATTGACATTGCTGCTCCAGCGTTCCCCAAATCCAATTTGAATATAAAAACCCAACATATCGGCACTTGGAAGCATAAAGATACAACAGCACTCAAAAGCATTGGTAGGATTAAACTCTGTGCCTGCAGGTACCGGACAAGTGACTGAAGAATAGCATATGGAAATAGCGTAGGAATGAGCCAAATCGTGTATTTTCCAGCTTCAGTTGCGATTTCAGGATCTTGGCCCATCAATATAAGAAGCCTATCCGTGAAGATCCACAGAACAGAAACTGGTATGCATACAAGGAATAGACAAATAATTGCACCATAAGTAAAAGTTCCAAGTTTTCGATATTGTCCTGCGCCATATGCCTGCCCACATAGAGTCTCCAGTGCACTAGCCATGCCAAACTGTTCCATAGATTAAATGTATTGAAAAAAGTGCTAGAATGCAAAAAGAGATACTCAACTAATTAAGGAGACTTACAAGAAGACTGAAGCCGGTAACATTGGAAAGTGAAGTAGCAATAGAAGCACTAGAAAGTTGAAGTTCACCAAGATGACCCAACATTATCATTGGTGAAACGCGCAAAAGGTACTGTGACACCGTCACCACTATCATCGGCATTGCTATCCGACTCACCTCCTTCACCTCCTTCCCAAACACTACCTTATTATTATTATTATTATTATTATTATTATTATTATTATTATTATTATTATTATTATTATTATTATTATTATTATTATTATTATTATTATTATTATTATTATTATTATTATTATTCACATCCAGCAGTGCCTCTTCCATCGCCGGCATAGTACTATTTTACTGTATGTTACTCTGTTCTCCAAAGTAAAACAGTTCTAAGTTTGTATTGAACTTGCTCTATGGAGTATATTTTAGATACTTAAATGGTTGTGAGAACGGTGAAAGTTGATGAGCAGCTCGCTTATGAGTTTTCCTAGCTCTAGCTGATGGCGGAGTCTCAATTATCATAGTATAGTACCTGGTATATTAGTACTACTCATTTGGCAATGATGATAATTTCTTAGAAGAAATATTTAAAAAGGTGACCGATCTTTCTGCTTATCATTTTATGATATAGTTTTATATTTATGGGATATTATTTTCTTATTAGTAGTTCGTTCTAGAAAGAATAATATTTTAAATATCTAAAAATAATTATAATTTTTAAAGTAGTTATTATTATTATTATTATTATTATTAATAGAATATTTTTATACCATATAAATATTCAGACATGATTAAGATTATAAAATTCTAATTTTCTTTAAATTGTGCAGGATAAAAAAACAGTCAATGAAGTAAAATAGAAAACAACACGCTCGTAAGTACCAACAGGTTTTATTAGTGAGAGTGATTCACAATTTTATTTAGCACGTACGATGAACCGAACTATAAATAAATCTGGAGAGTGTATACTTTTACTTATTACTTAATTATATGTTCTACCAACAAGAGTTTTAGTGTAGTATAAGTACTCCTTCGTCCTTGACCAAATGTCTCGGATTCGAACTCTGAATATGGAGTCGGCTTTGTTAAGAAGCGCTTTACTCCTCAATGTGAAACTTTCCGGTGCGAATCCGGATTTAGTCGAGCTCCAATGCGAATACCAGACATCGAATGGAAAACCAAAAAATAAACTCATTAATTTACACAATTAGCATGTCGGATTTTGTCACGACCCGGAATCCCCACCGTCGGGACCGTGATGGCGCCTAACATTTCACTTGCTAGGTAAGACAACGTTAGAGAATCATTAAGCTAATTCTTTTACATTTCAGTAATTAACAACAAATAAGCTATAACGAGTTAAAAAAGAGTGCGGAAATATATAATAGCCTCAATATATACATACTATTAAGCCAATTTTTTCTTCAAGTAAATGTCTGAAAGAGATACAACTGTTTTCGAAATGAAAGAAACAGTAAAGTGTAATGTATAGAAGGGGACGCCAGGGTCTGCGGATGCCGGCAGATCTACCTTGGGTCCTCTATCATACGAATCCTGCAGTCAACCTCACGATCAGCTCAGACCAGCACCAAAATCTGCACATGAAGTGCAGAGTGCAGTATCAGTACAACCGACCCCATGTATTGGTAAGTGTCGAGCCTAACCTCGACGAAGTAGTGACGAGGCTAAGGCGGGTCACTCACACTATAACATGTACGCAGTATATATATATAATAAAAGCAGGATAGGAAACGTAGAATAGAAGAAAGCAGTATACGTCAACTCCCGGAGATATATCAACAGTATTAAGAAATTACCGATCCTTAAGTGCAAAAGAGAATACCATAAGGCTAACACAACTTAGAGAAACATAAACACATGGGATATTGCGGCGCGGAACCCGATCCCACCGTACATCTCATATTCCTCCCTTATTTCCTTATAACAGCATAAACGACAGTAAATATAAATAAAAGTATTGCGGCGTGCAACCTGATCCCACCATATCATAATAATACAATCATAGTTCACCCTTATTCCACCAAACAATCCACCCTTATTACACCTGTTACGGCGTGCAACCCGTTCTCACCGTTCAGTATCACATCGCCCTTATTCCACCTCAATATACAACATTTATTTCTCTTATTGTGACGTGCAACCCGATCCCACCATATCAATAGCAATTACTCAATATGTACAAAAATGTAACAATTTAAATCACAGAATCCTTTCACAAAACTTAAACCTCAAACTGAAACAAATAGGAATCTTGTACACCATGAAAGTTCATATAAGTAATACTACACAGCGAGACCAATTCAGAATATACAGTAGAAAAGTACCGATAAAACAGATTAAACAGATAATAGGAGATAATGGAACTATGGAAAGAACAATATCATAAGGGAAAATAATGTCTAACAAGTAGCAATTAGGCATAGGGACACAGTTAGAGCATGTAACAATTAAGACACGGAAGGAGATAATATGAGAAAAACGGGAAAACTTGGAAAACACATAAATTGGCGGCGCATAAGTACTCATCACCTCACATATACGCCGCTCACATGAATTTCACATAGCAAATAGTCTGAGGGTTTCTAATTCCCTCAAGTCAAAGTTAGACACAACACTTACCTCGCTCCACAGACCACTCAATGCTCAATTACAGCTTTTTCTCTAGAATCCACCTCCAAACCACTCGTATCTATCCACAAATGACTCAATAATATCAAATGTTGATAAGGAAATGAATTATAATGTATAAATTTAGATTCCCCAAACTTTTTCCAAAAAGTCAAAAATCGACCCCGGGCCCGCTTGGTCAAAATCCGGAGTTCGGACCAAAATCCATTTACCCATTCACCCCCGAGCCCGATTATATAATTAGTTTCGGAATCCGACCTTAAATTGAGGTCTAAATCCCCAATTTGCAAACCCCATCCCCNCAAACCAATGAATTGATGTTGAGTTTTCCCATTAAAATCGCACTTAGGCCGAGTTATAATGGAGAGTTTATGAAAAATGAATAAAATTCCGTTTTGGTTCTATTTTAAGGTGTGGGCGTCAGGCCTTCTTGCGTTCGCGAAGGGCCTGCCGCGTTCGCGAGAAGCTGGTCGCGTTCGCGAAGGGTAAGGCCCCCATTGCTTCGCGTTCGCGACCCAGCTACCGCGTTCGCGATTAAGAAATACCCTGTCCCAGTTTACTGTTCGCGTTCGCGAGAGTACCTACGCGATCGCGAAGAAGAACACACCAGATATCATCTGACGCACAAAAACTAGATTTTCTAAGTTCAAAACATCCCGTAACCTATCCGAAACTCACCCGAACTCTCGAGACTCCAAACCAAACACGCACACAAGTCCTAGAACGTCATACGAACTTGCTCGCGCGATCAAATCGCCAAAATAATACCTAGAACTACGAATTGAACGCCAAATCAAATAAAATTTTCAAGAAAGCTTTAAAACTTCTATTTTCACAACCAGACGTCCGAATCACGTCAAACCAACTCCGTTTTTCACCAATTTTCACACACAAGTCATAAATATAATAATGGATCTGTACCGGACTCCGGAACCATAATACGGACCCGGTATCAACATGACCAAACGTCAGTCAATTCTTAAAATCATTAAACTTTCAAACTTTTTATTTTTCATTAAAATTCCAGATCTCGAGCTAGGGACCTCAGAATTCGATTTCGGGCATACGCCCAGGTTCCAAATTACGATACGGACCTACCGCGACCGTCGAAATACGGATGTGGGTCCGTTTACTCAAAACGTTGACCAAAGTCAACTCAAATTAATTTTTAAGGCAAAAATTCTTATGTTTCTTAGTTTTTAACATGGAAGCCTTCCGGATGAACACCCGGACTGTGCACGCAAATCGAAAAAGGCTAAAATGAGATTTTTGAGACCTCGAAACACAGAATTAGGTTCTAAAATATAAGATGACCTATCAGGTCATCACAGATTTTCTGTTTACTTTTCTTAGTCGGTATGCACTTATTATATACGATTATATACATATTATATATGAATCAATACATATATTATACATTCGTAAGCTGAAACAACCATGGACGAGTAATGTGAGTGAAATCTTGATGGTTAACTATTTTTAAACATTCCAATATTTTAAGCTATCGACACTTACCTCTAGTAATATTAGTGAAAGTCTTCCGAATGTGTTCAATTCTCATTATTACTCTTCCTCTTCGCCTTCTCTAATCAACTCCTCGTGCAATACAACTCTTTCTAAATGTGGCTAAGTCGATGAGTGCGAATAATTATTTTGTACATCCAACAATTATAGTACTAACTAACAGCTTTTATATAAGATCACTGGTGAAAATTTGATAGGTTGTATGAATCAGACTTAGAAATTAGATATATAATTAATGATTAATTGGGGCATGATTGGGAGATTGATTGGTTGACGGAGTTAGCAAGTAAATGATAACTTGTGAATATAATATCTACCTTTGGTGGGGGAAAACAATTTTAGAATCTCGAGTTTTATGCTACATCCTTGTTGTCTTATTGACTGCTTTCTCTGACATGAACCGCCAAACTCGCAAATTATGTGGAGATACATTGGTGGTCAGGATTCACAAATTAGACTAATTTAAATCAGAATCTGTTGGATTTATTAAAGAAGTATAATGCTTTGTGCTGAATAATTTTTCATTTTAAAAACTCAAACTTAAAATGTATTGCTAATGATAGTGATATTAAGTAGTTAAGTATTTCATTTATTGTTTTAACTAAAATCTTTAGAAATGACTTGTTTGAATATTTTTCATTTAGAAAAAGAACAGTTTAGTCGACAGCAGAAGAGGTCAAAACAAATTATTTATGTTGTTTAAATTGTAGATCGCAGAGAAGTCACGGCTGACGTCTCAAGTGGGATAAACAACTCCGAGCATACAATGAAGAGAGATTTTCTTTTGCTTTATAATTTCTGGTGGTTGGGCGTGAAAGCTACGTACGATTGCTAAATCATGTCAGTAATATAATATATATATATTTTGAATTAAAAAACTCTTTCTGATACTGTATTACTTATCAAACTAGCGAATATATGAAATTTATCTTTTAAATGTATATTTGATTATTTATGACTTAATTATGATCAACTAAGATACATATATTGTCCTACTCTTGGCACAGTTCTAAATGAAGTAAGAAATCTCATGACTAGCTAATTAATCG